CAGCAGAGAGGAGGCTGTGATCCAAGTGAGCCTTTAGAGTGCGAGCAGGCAATGTTCTATTTCTTGGTCTGAATGGTAGTTAACTTGGGGGTTTGCATTTTAATTCTCTGTTTAATGGCTATAATGCTGTACTTTAGGTGCTTTTCTATATATGACATATATGAGGAGAAAAACATCTAACATTACCCAAGGTAGTGGCTTTTAGATAATTTAGGGCACTTATCCAAATGGTAAAGATTTAGAGCTTCAGACTACATGCATGAAAGAATGGGGAAATTCTGTGGGAACCATAAAAGCTTTGCTGTAAGGTCAAAAGTTAAGGGCTCAAAAAGCTCTTAAATGATCTAATGTAACTCGTTCATTTTGAAAAGGAAACCAAAGTTCAGATAAGTTACGACTCCCCGAAGATCCCTCAACTGGGCCTACTTCTGTGTCTACATAATTGTAACCCTAATAATAGTACATGGAGGTTAGCAGTAACAGTCTGAGCAAAATAGACAAAAAATGGCCATGTCCAGCCACACACAAATTTCAACATATACATTTTGATTCCTTAAGCTTTAGCAGAGAAGGGAGAGTAGCATTCTCCTTACAAAACTTCGAACACTGCAGGGAAGAAGGTGGAAAGGACTCTGTGGAAACTTTCCCACCAGGGTGTCTTGGGCTGTGGTATTTCAGAGTCCTTTCTCCTAGGGGTACTCTGTACCCTGGCACCAACAGCCAGCATTTATCTGCCTACTTACCACACAGTTGGGGAGAATTCTTCAACTGTCCTTAAACTGAATTCTGGATCCTTTTCAAATTAAGACTAGGAAGGACCCAGAGCTTTGCCTGGCTTTCCTCTTATCCCACTGCCTATAAGGCCTGAAGTAAGGATGTCTAAGAATATACTCCCAGAGAGAAAATGCTCCACCCTACTAATAACCGCAGGTTAGTGCAGGAACAGACTGCAAAGTGCAGGTGATGTTTAGGCCACACTCTTAAACACTCGCTGCAGGAAGGCCCACCCTAGACACTACATTCAAGCTCCCATCCTGGGCTTTCTTTCCAAGTCCACTCCGTGCCTCCTTCCCTGTGTCGTCCACGGAAAAAACAAGCCTGTCGGCTTAACCTAAGCAAATAAACATATGAGACGACTCTTTAAGCATAATTCATATGCTGACTCGGGCCTTTTGTTCCTCCGAGATCAAAGAGGCCAGAAATTTCTTTTCGGAAGAATTTTTGGCCTTGAGATCCGGACTGGTCTTATTATACAACGGATCTTTCTTGGCGTTTGCTGAAAAATGGTCCTGAGAAGAAGCTATTTAATTGCTTTTTAAGGCGAGAAAGAGGTGGGATTAATAACGGTAAAAAGAAGCAGCACGAGAGAACAGCCGATTGGGGTACTCGAGAAGGGGGAGCACATGCCATATAAAACCCGCCGAGGAGGCGGCAGCGAGACGGCACCGGACGCCACATCAGACTGGGCCTTAAGGATAACCGGGCTCCCGCTCACAGGTCAGCACCCTCTGGCTAACAAATCCGCGATGCCTTTATTCCCTTCCCCCCGGGCTTCTCCGTGAGGCAGAGTCGCCTTCCTGCCTGCAAATGGGGGTGGGGAAGAGTTAGAAGAGCAGTGGGCTCGCGGCTTCTCGAGCTGCTGTCGTGCCCGCCCCCCTCAGGTTTCAAGGTGCCGGGCTCGAGGCCTGGTCGAGCGCCCCGCTCCACGCGGGGCCCCAGAGGCCGTAGGCCCCGCCCGCGTGGCGGGAGGCAGGGAGTGCGGGGCCCGACGGCCGCCACACAATGGAGGCCACCGAAGGCCCCGCGCAACCCCGCCGCGGCGAGCCCCTTGCGCAGCGAGGGCGCTGGAAGGTTCCAGAACCGGCCTGCCCAGTGGGGGAGGGGAGGGGAACGTGGACTCTCGAATTTGTAGGGCAGCGGCGGGTACCTCACATCCTCGGAAACCCCACTTCAGTCGTCCCATACACCCCCCAGAGACGAACGAGCCCCGATTTGGGCGGCCTGGCTATCCCTGGCGCGGCCGCGTTTCCACCACACTCACCCGTGGACGCCATTTTCTCGCCTTCCTTCTCGTTCTCGCAACGTCCGTCTCCCTCTCGCTTTCCCTCTAGGCGCCGCACTGCGCAGGCGCGAAACCCGCAACCTCGGGCGTTACCATCGGGCCAGGCTACGGGGGTGAGGGAAGGAGGGGCAAACCATTGCTTTCTCGTCCTACCGCTCTCTACTCTTGTCTTAATTCTTTCTAAAGAGCGCCGGACGTGACGCGCGGGCTAAAGTAGCATCGAAGGGGTGGGAGCGGCCGGTGAGCAAGTCTTGGCATCAAGGCGGAGTAATTCTCCGCACGAGACTAAATTATACGGGATGGTTACGTCCGTTGGCTCTAGGGACCGTCTCTCAAGAGTCTGCCTTGAAGGGAAACGGAGGCCGGCGGGAGGGCTGGGGGAAGGGACCTGGGCCTAGAACAACTGCTGACTAATCGGCGGGCGGCGGGGGAGGGGTTGGCGCGCCGGTGGGTCATTCGGGGTCACGCTCCCGAGCGCGAGCAGAATGGGCTTGGGGCGCTTGGGCCTCAGCGAGAAGTTAGAGCCCCGACGCCCAGCCAAGGGCCTCGCCAGCCTTCCCAGGGCCGGGGGCGCGCTCCGCAGTGAGTACCCCGGGACACGTGGCCCGGGCTGGCGTGGGCGGGGGCCGAGGCAGGTGGGCTGGATGGGAGGCCTCGAACGTAGCACCCGGCCCCGAGAGAGCACCCCCACCCAGTAACGGTCGAGGTTGGGAAGGCCCTTCAATCATCTCTCATACATACCTTTGTTTTAACGGAAGGGGAAACTAAGGCCCAAGTGATTTGGGTACTTCTAAAGCCACAAAACTGAGTCCAACCCACATCCTGGGACCCCCACTCTCTATTACCCGAAAGAATCTTCCCCATCCTTGCCTTCCCATTTTTTCTCTGGCTTCCCAGTAAGGTAGGCAGGGCCTGATGGTGCACAGCCCCATTTTGTAGATGCAAGAGACTGAGGCTGGTAGGGTTTAAGTCCCAGTTCTGTTTGTCCGTGGACAAGTCCACCCTTGCTACGGTACCTGGGGGTGGGGTATAGTTGTGAAGGTGCAGGAGGCGGCCTGCAGTGGGTGCCTTGGCTCCGGGCAAGGGTGGCACCTGTCTGCCTTACTGGTCTCAGCCCAGTCTCACCTAAGTCTTTCAGCGGGATGTGGTGTCAAGCTCGTGTATTTCTGTCAGTGAACACAAAGCACCAGCTCTGTGTGGGGAGCACCTTGGGGAATTTGGGGATGAGTAAGAGGAAGGACACCCGCTTCTCCCAGCTGAGTCCACTTGCCAGGGAGAAAGATAGGCCAAGCTGCTCTCATTAGTTACAATGAGCACTATGATGTGGTCATCCAGAGAAGGGGATGGGGACATTTGAGCTGGGTTTCAAAGGGTGCAAAGGAGTTTGCCTGTTGAAGAGATGGACATTGCAGGAATCTGGCAGGTGGGTTTTGATGCCGTTGATGCCCTTCACAAGGGAGCGGATGAGGCAGCCTTGTCTCTCTGGGATTTTGCTTCCTGCTTTACGAAATCAGTTCAGTGGGACTCCTGAAACCTACAGACCTGGCCAGGAGCGAGGGGGTTCCAGCAGGGCCTGGAGGACAGTCTGGACGTGAGGGGAGACAATGGGGAGAAAAAGCTTTGCCATAAGGGCAAAGAATGGGCACGATTGAAGGCCAGAGCTTGAACCAGCAAGGCTGGAGCAGCTGCCTCCATGTTGAGGCCTCCCCTTGTTGGGCCAGCTGGTGCTTACATCTGCCTCCCATACAATGAGTAGTGGGGTAGGCCCTGCTTTAGCCCATTTCTTTTTCTCATTCTATGAAGAAAGGATTTTCTTAATCCTCATTTTATAGAAGGAGAGGCTCAGAGAATGGAAAGCTTGCCCAGGGATACACAGCAAGAAGTGGATACTGGAAGGGGGATGGGGAGCTAGGGCTAGAAGAGTTGTGCTTAGGCCACCGAGAGGAAGCTATGTCTCAGTCCGGTGTCACTTTGTATGCACTCAGGGTGTGGGATTCCTGTTGCCACTCCTCAAACTCTTCAGCCCCACCCCCTCCCCAATCTGCCTGCCCATTGGCTGGTCTCTACCCCTTGGTCAAGGGCAGCTGAGGCCATCTAAAGCTCTAAGGCTGGGCACAGTGGAGAAGAGAAGGGAGGAAGGTGGCTGGTCTGCAGCCTGAGGGAAGCAGAGGAAAGCTGGAGATGGCCCTGAATTTGCCCTAGGGGGTCTGCACCCCTCTTCGGGAGCCCAAGGCCCCAGTTTAACTTCCCTGGCCCTCTGCCTCCCACCCCAGACTCCTTCAGGGCCCAGGGTCCTTTTAGCCTGGCCCCTCCCCATCACACATAGGAAGGTGGACTGGTAAGATGGCTAAGCACGTGGTTAGGGTCTGAGCTCCTCTATGGCCAGGTTGCTGAGCCTACCTTTCCAGCCTCAATTCCTGCTCTGTAAAATGGAGCTGTTGGTAGGGTAGTTGAAAGAAAGATAAAAGCTTCAATAATAACTGTTGTTACTGTTTTCCTTTCCCCCTAGCATACAGCCCCAGGACTACCCTTGACCACCTTCAGCCAGACTATGTGTGGCAGAGGACCCCCTGGCCTACTCTCCCCAGCGCTGCCTCTTGCCTCCTCAGTCCTGATGCTGCTAATGAGCAGCCTATGGCTGGTGGGGGCCGGCCCCAGCCTTGCCCTGGTCCCAGAGCTGCTGCTGGACCCCTTTCAGGGTGAGGGCTGGCCACATGGGCTGTGGAAAAAAGCAAGAGACTTGCTGTAAGGGCCTGAGACCAGCTGGTAGGAGTGGTGTGCCTCCTGTAGTGGCCAGGTAGGGATAGGGACCCAATGCCCCTGGGAAGGTCAGCCTTGGATGGGAGCATTCTCAGCTCTTCCACAGCCAAGGAGGGCAGAGGAGCCAGCAGAGGGGTGGGAGCCTGTGAGTAAGACTTCAGACGGCTTCCCTTTCTGGTAGCTTTCCCTTGAAATAAGAACTAAGGCTTTCAGCTAAGCATAAGAATGGGGAGGAGATGCTGGGGGTTCTAGGAGTGGTCCCAGCTGGGTTCCTGTTTCCCAGTAATAATAGCGGCTTCCATTTACATTTGAGGAACCCAAGTGATGCTCACAGAGGTTAAATGACTCATCCATACTTGGTTTTTCTTGGGAAGACTGAGTGGTGGGTCCAGCTTGTTGTTTAATCCAGCCCAGTAGTAGCCACAGTGTTTGGAAGCCCACGGTCCCCTCCATGAGCAATTGCTGGCAGTGGGCAGACTTTGGCTCCTAGGAAGGGGAGGCTGGCTTAGTGGGTACCCTTGGCAGGGCATAATTCCCTACCTGACACACCTGGGACAGCCTTGGGGGTAGAGGCCACTAACCTGGCACATAAGCCCCTTCTTTCTCCTAGCACACCGGCTGCTGACCCATGTTCTGGGCCACACGGCCCTACCAAGTCTGCTCCTGAGTCTGCTGCTCCTGCCTGCACTGGGCTGGCAGCAGGAGTGCCACCTAGGCACACTGCGGTTCCTGCATGCCTCCATTCTGCTTGCCCTGGCTGCTGGGTTAATGGCCATGATGTTGGCAGGCCTCGGGGTGTCCAGTGCCGCTGGTGGCTGTGGATACATGCCTGTCCACTTGGCCATGTTGGCAGGGCAGGGTTACCACCGTAGATGGCCCCATGGAACACTGCCACCGTGGCTGTTGTCATGGCTGCTGCTCGCCTTGACACCGCTGCTCAGCTCTGAGCCACCCTTTCTGCAACTCTTCTGCGGCCTCCTTGCTGGCCTGGCCTGTATCCTTTGGCTGGGCCCTGGGCCTGTGTGGATGTGTGGGTTCTGTGGCTGGGCCCCCAGGGTGCTTGGGAAGGAGGTGGCACAAGGTGGTCAGGCCCAACAATGCCAGAAAGCTGTGCACACACATTCCAGGAGCATCTCCATGTTCCCCTCTAGCCAGGTTCTGGGTTGGGGCCCGGGGACTCGGGGCCAGGTGGAGGTGCCAATTACAATTTAAAAGGGAGTCCAGGAGGGCCGAGGTGGCCCAAGGAGGCACCTAACCTGGACTTCCCCAGTGGAGGTGGCATCTGAGACATGCAGGATGGGGGGTTCAGGTGAAGAGAAGTGAAAAAGGAGAGTGGCTGGGCAGAGGGCGCAGAAAGTGCAAAGGCCAGGGGTGAGAGTGGGCTGGCGTGCTCTGGGCACTGAAAGGGGGAACCATCTGTGGCTGGTGGTGTGTGTGCATTAAACATAGACTTTTGCTCCAAAGATGCTTAGTGTCTGTTGAGAAAAGCTGTGATTGGAGAGAACAGTGGGCTTAGGCAGACCCCCTGTAGTTTAGGAGTGGGGAGCATGTTGCCCTGGCTGAGGGCAATAAGGGGTGTGTCACTGGGCCCAGGGATGTCACAGACTTGATCAGGTAGATGGGACTCTGGGAACAGAATGAGGCAGGGGATGGCTGAAACGGGATAAGACAGGTTTTTGGGGTGAGGCACATCTGGTTTCACCTCTTACAGGCTGAGTAGCTTCAGGCAGGTCCCTTTTCCTCTCAGAACTTCCACTGCTGACCGGGGTGACAACATACCTTGCAGGGTTATAGTGAGGAGACATGAGGGAATGTCCATCATCCACGTGGCACGGCCTGGCATACAGTGTGGGCTCACCGTGGCTGGTTTTGGTTTTCCTTGACCAGCTGCCCTGCCCTGGGCAGACAGACGCAGCTGGGGCCTTCCGGTGGCTGGAGCTCTCTGAGAGGCGGCTGCAGGCACTGCAGGAGGGTGTCTTGTGCAGGGCCCTGGCAGAGTGCTGGCCACTCAGGCTCCTTCCCACCCCAGGCAGCATGCCTGAGCTGCCTGTCACTCATCCTGGAGTGAGGTGAGGGTGATGCTGAGGACACCAGACCTGGTGGTAGAAGCTGTGGCAGTGGCTGGCAGTCAGGCCCTCTTCTGCTTTTGCCCTTCCAGGCTCTCCACCCCTGGACCTCTTTACATGGCCTCCCATAGTCTCTGGTCCCACAGTGAAGACTCAGCCCCATTCCCACCAGGACTGGGGCCTGTGCAGCCGACCTGGGAGGGCTCCTCAGAGGTGGGCTTGGCCTGGGCTGAGCCCAGCTTCCCCCCAGGGACCCCACTGTGGGTAGCCCTGGATGAACAGATGCTACAGGAGGGAATCCAGGCCTCACTTCTTGAGGGGCCAGCCCAGGATCCTGAGAGCCCACTATGGTTGCCTAAGTCCTCTGTCTCCTCTCTGCGGTAAGGCAGGGTGGGCAGGGGTGGGATCTCTGGGTGTGGGGGCTGAAGGTGACCCTGACACTCCTTCTGTCCTCTCCATCCCACAGGCTGCAGCAGCTGGAGCGCATGGGCTTCCCCACAGAGCAGGCGGTGGTGGCACTGGCAGCCACAGGCCGTGTGGAGGGCGCTGTATCACTGCTGGTCGGTGGAGAGGTGGGCACTGAAGCCTTGGTGACTCAGGGGAGGGGTGGGCCTGCCCATCCCGAGGGCCCTGGGCCCCCCTAGCACACACAGGCAGGCCCTCAGGTGATAAGAGGCCTGGCCTATGGGTCGGTAGTCTGAGTCCCAGCCCTGTGTGCTGAGTACAGGGGGTGCAGGAAAGCCCCCTCCAGCATCCTGCCTTGCTACTGTTTAGAATAAAAATCAGTTTACTTTTCAATTGGACCTCCTTGGGCTCAGCAATTGTGTCTGACTCTTCTGTGTTGGCATGGGTGGGGGGCCAGGGAGGTAAATGAATGAACAGTGAATGAAAAGCAGATTGTAGGAGAGCAGCTCCCTGATATACAGAGAGGCAGTGTTACTGTTCCTGCACCATGCAGCCTCTTCCTCCAGGAAGCTCTGTCTTCCACCTTGGGCCTCTGCTGGGCTGGACCCACTGCCCAGGAACATTCTTCATCACTTGTTTCCCAGCTAGTTTTCACCCATCCTCAGGTCTCAGCCATCAGAGATCAGACTGCAGTCCAGGAAACCTTCCCTGATTCCCCAGGAATACCATCCGTTCACTGCCCACAGGCCCCAGTGACCCTGAGGGACGGGCCATTTCAGTCAGTCTCCTAGGCCTGGCCCTGAGCAGGCTCAGTGGCTGGTGGCTGTGCACTGCTGGACCCCGTGGGCAGGCAGCAATGGGTGGAGGTGTGGTGGGGGAGAAGCTTCCTCAGCTTTGAAGCAGCAGCTCCTCCCTCCTGGCCCCTTTCAGTCCTTGCCCCTTCCCAGAGAGGAGAGGTGTGTAGACAGATCTAAGAAGGCAGAGAGTGGGGCATGGGTGTGAGTTGCTGATGGGCCCGGGGTAGAGGTAAGGCAGAGGGTCATCTGGGAAGTTGAACTTTGAGGGGCAGAGCAGGGGGCTTTATATCCTGGAGCAGCTTACATTCTAGTCACCTGGAGACTGACCCTGTTATTGGTCACCAGCTAGGGTCCAGAAACGGACCGGGAAGCCTGAGGGGCACACCACCAGTCTTATTTCCTCATGTGAGAAAACAGGCTCAGGGGAAGCTGCAGGTCACCCAGTCTAGAAGATGCTCTGAGGTCTCTGCAGCTCCTTGCTCCCCTAGCACAGCCATTGTTGGACACCTGGGTTGGGGGTGGGTGGTGGTGGACTGAGCCTGTGCTCTGCCTCCATGTCCCAGGTGATGGCCAATAGAGCCTGGTCCCCTCAGCCCTATGAGGCCAGCCTCAGACCTGCTTTGCAGGTGGGCAATGGAGGCCACTGAGAAGAGGGCCCTGTTCCTGTCCCACTGTCCCCCGTCTGAGCACACACTGAGACCAGGCTGGGGGAAATTCAGGCTGAGGGCCTTTATTGGCTGGTAGACACCTCCCTCCTGGTGTCTGTCACAAGCTTTGTGGGAGCAGGTGGCCCATCCCTCTCCATGCCCGGACTCCCCACCTGGGACATGGGAGGGGCTGGGGGCTCGGGACAGAACTGAGGCAAGGAGCTCCCAAAGTCCTGTAAGACCAGGCAGCTTGACCTCAAGGTTGAGAACTCAGCACCGAAAAACAAGGAGAGGAGCACAGGTGGGCTCCTCTGAGTTTTGATGGGGAAGAAGGGAGGTGAGACTGCCCTCCCTCATCATCCCTGCATGTGCCCAGGGCTGGGCAGAACCCCAGCTCCCTCAGTGCCTGCAGGCATGGATACCTGGGCAGCTGATGGGAAGACAGAAACTGCAAACCTGCCATCCCCTCCCCATAGGCCTGCATCACCCCATTTCACAGAGGGAAACAGGCCCAGGACCCAGAGCAAGGCCTCACCTCTCACCTGGGCCACCTCTCCCTCAGGCCTCAGTCCCTGCTCAGCCTCATGAATCAGATGTGCATAGGGTACCAGGACCTAGACTTCCTCCCTCAAAGGCCTAGGTGGCAAAAAGGACCCTGAAGACATTAATAAATATGGACAGGCGGTCCCTGGAGGCAGCTGGTTTAGTCCAAGCTGGGAAGAGAAGCCTGGCCCGGCCCACCCGGAGGGGCTGCCTCTGCCCTCAGCCTCTCTCGTTGCGGCTCCTGGGGGCCACGATCCGGTAGTTGGTTGCGTGTCCTCCCCTCTTGCCCCGCAGGAGGCTGGGGGTACCCGTGCCGGCAGGGCCTGCCCCTGACCCCTCTGGTTCTGCCGGAGGGAAGGAGAGAGGCTGGGTTAGTCAAGTCTATGTGAGGAACCCACCTCCCTTCGGCCCTCTGGGGGGGGGTGGGGGAACTGGGCACTCTGCCAGGTGCACTCTGCCCTGGCATCTGGGAGGCAAAGCTGTGGGAAAGAAGGGGGTCTGCAAGTTGGTTAGTGTCCCCCCGACCCAAGAGGGAGTAATCAGCCCCCAACCCAAAGAGAGCACTGAGGACCTCTATTTGATTTTCTGTCCTGTGCAGATAAATGAACCCACCAAGTTCCTGAAATGTTTAATGTGTAGTGAATGCTCCATAAAAGTATAGTTCCTTTTTTCTTTTCTACATTTTGGGGTGGAAGTGTGCCCCGAATCATCTCCATTTCAAAGCTGGGTAAAGTAAGGCCAGGGAACATTCACTTCCTCTCTCCTCGGATTAGGCTACCTGTGGTGGGGAAGGGTTTAAGAAGGCCAAGCTCTGCCATTAACCTACTCTGTAGCTTTGGGCAAATTGGACCCGTCAGGGCCTCAGCTGTCTCATCTCTAAAACCAGGGGGACAGTTCCATATATACCCTGAGGTCCTAGCCAAGTACTATAATTATTGAAGTCAGTTCCAATTTGGCTATGGTGAGATATGCTCCAGCCTAGTAATGAGCTGTCCCCCAAGAGTGAAACTGAACAATTGGCATTCTTGCCATCTAAAAAACTCCTACACATCCTTCAAAACCCAGAGTAGGACCTACCTCCTCCAGGAAGCCTTCTGTGACTATCACCTCAATCCCTCTCAAAGTTAAATGAGCAGGTCGGAAGGATGGGCTGTTTTGCCAGGGGAAGAACAATGCTCAGGGAAGAGAGCCCCAGGATGGAGGACTTAGCTAAGCCTCCAAAGCCCTGTTCACAGGACAGACATTTGGCCTCTGGTGACCACCAGCTTCCCATTGAAGGTACTGCCAGGAAAGTGCCTATATCCTTGTAATCATAACTGTTCAGCACCCTGACACTGTGTGCCCCAGTCTTCCATGCACCTCTGGGCTGAGATTTGGGAACCCAGGGGGCAAATATGCATATGTGGTCAGAGTCAAAGGTCATTTCATGCCCCAAATCAGGGAGCATAGGAGGAAGGGTAGCACAGAGCTTAGGCTCCAACATCGGCTAGGGCCAAGTCTTGGCCCCACCATGTCCCAGTTATGTGGCCTTGGGCAAGTCACAGACTTTTGAGCCTCATCTGAAATGTGGATTTAACATTCCTGTTGTCACACTCTTGCAGTGTTTAACATGACTAGGAGTAGGAAGTGGTTTTCACCGTACATGCTGGACTGTGGTCACTAGGTTGGTCTGCTTTCGACCCAGGTCTCTGGCAGTTCTGGGCACTGTGAGTCTATCACAAGGTGGTGTTGTGACATGATCAAATTCAGGGCCTTGGTTTCCTCCAGGCCCCACTCAGTGCCTTGTGGAACAGAGGTGTCAGCGAACCTTTGCTGATGGAGTCAAAAGAGCCAGTGCTTTAGAGGACAGACCTAGATTAGACCCTTGGCCTTACCACTACTGTCCCTATGACCCTGGGGAAGTCACATGAGCCCTTGGAACCTGTTCATCTGTGAAATGGGCATGGTATCGCCCACCTAGCCAGCTTGTTGTAAGGTCTGGAAATGATCATTGGAAATGCCCCAGTCTGAGGTGGGCTGGATGTGTGACAGCTGTTACTATTATCATCATCGTTGATTATAACCTAAACGTGCCCATCTGGGTTTTTAGTCATTACCTCCTGTGTATGATGGCCAATGGGGAAGATTCCATCTCTTACTCTGCTCCCCTCCTCCCACATCACCCCTTCCAGGCCCACAACCAGAGTTGGCTCGTGGGACCTCTGTCCCAGGCTCACGGCCACAGAGAGTGGGCATGGGCTTTCCCAGGTGACCGGCACTTCCTCCCTGGGCTGCTGGTGACAGAGCTGGCTGAGGAAGGACAGGGTATAGATCCAAAGCCGCAATGTGTTTCTTTTGGCTCCTGCCTCAATCCTCTTGAGAGAGGTGGGGGACAACTCTAAAGGTACTGAGAACCTGGGATTAGGTCCTTGGTCCCCACTCTGTGAGAGGAAAGGAGATCTGGGAGATGGTCAGTGATGTTTCTAGAAGTTAGAGAAGCCACGTGGTATGGTAAGAGGAGCTTTGGAAGCAGACCACATACACACCTTCCAATCTCCAGGCCTTTCTCATGTAGGGCTCTGTGAGGGTTGCCCTTCCCACCGTCTCCTGCTGGCTCACTAGTAGAGACCTTCCATGACCTAACACAAGTGTCCTTCTTTAAGGAAGCTGTCTCCATCTCCCACCCCCAACCCCTCAGTGAGAAGTGACTGCTCCTCACTCACATCTTTGGTGTTCCTGTACCCCGTGGTCCTCATCTCTATAGATTCTGAGGATCTCCTATTGCTCGACAGGCAGCTCCCCAAGGCAAGTACCTTTGGGATCTGCCTCAATGCCTGCCCAGACTTGGCATTCAGTAGGTGCCCCCTACAGTTTTGCTGAATGAAGGAGGTTTGGCTCTAACTTTAATCCTCCTTCCTGCTTGGGGCCTCAGTTCCCCATCTGTAAAAGAGATCCGAGGTTGGAGATGATATCTGAGACCTGTGTGCTCCGATGCACTGGAACTGGATTGTGAGATGGGGCTTCTGGAGGTGGGAGAAGGGTGGCTGTTGGAGCCTCTTAGCAGGCCTTGAGGGCAGCCAATCCCTGCCTCTCTCCAAGGCCAGCCACAAGCTCGTTTAATGGGGAGAGACTTCCTTAACCCTACCTTAACAAGCCAGGCACTTGGTGTCTAACCTTTTGTGCCTCCCTGACCTGCCTTTGAGGATCTTCTCAAATTGGGCCCTGCCAGATCCTCTAGCCTCAGCATTTACCCCTCAGCATTCTCATAGAACAATCCTTCTAGGCTCTCTGGCCTCCTAGATTTTGTCCATGCTGTTCCTCTGCCTGTTTACTCACTCCTTCTCCTTGCCCTTAAGAACTCCACTTAGCCAATACCTCCTCCAGGAAGCGCGTGCGCACGTGGGCGCGCGCGCGCACACACACACACCCCCTCCCCCCCACACACCCACCATAGCCTGGGTCCGGGGCACTTCTGTGCTTTTATGGTTGCCTATACTTATTCCATCTTGTTTTTCCTCACCTTGGGTTTAACAGCCAGTTCCACGGCTTCCTCCTACACCCCCACACCCTAAGCTCCATGAGAATAGGACTATGTCTGTCTTGCTGTGTTGGAGCCTATGCCAGCAAGATGCCTGGCACAGAACTGATGCTCATTCACTCACGAACTAGTTACCAGAGCCTTCTCTGTGCCAGGTACCATCTACTAACTGGATGGAAGGACTAAAGAATGAGTGTCTGCTGGCCTGGGTCCAGGATTGGGAGTTGCCTTCTGTGACCCCAGGCCCTTCCCAGGCCTTTCCTGAAAGGGGCTGCCCCTGCCTGCCCACCCTGCCGTTACCTGGCCAGATGATGGCTTCCAGCAGGGTGACCCGTCTGGCCAGGAGCTCCAGCTGAGCCTGCTGCTGCAGGAAGCTCTGTAAGCTAGGAGCCTGATGGGAGATCGAGAAGAGCAGACGGTGCGAGTCCGGCCTCCAAGGGCTGGGCCGGGGAGCCAAGGGTGGGGTGTACGGGCCAGGCTCCAGCCGGCTTCAGGGCAGGAGCCTGGGTGTGAGACTCTACTGAGACCTTGGTCTCCCCTTCTAAGTGGGGACAGGGCTTGCCTGGCTCAAGTGACCAGATGGGTGGAGGATTGGTGAGTGAATGCCTGGGGTGAGGGTATGCCTGGGGTGAGGGTCTGGCTCTCTCAGGCCCCTAAAGGAACCCGCAGGACAGTTTAGGAGTACCAGAGGGGGAACTGAAACTGTCAGGGGGATATCTGGGGCCGGGAGGGCCCACCCTGTGAGAGCCTCTGGGGCTTATATGGGCAAGGTAGGATTCAGAATTGGTGGTGGTATATTACCCAGAGTCCCTTGGGGCCTAAGCTTGGCTCTGTCACCCACAGTCCCCTGCACTTCTGGAATCTAGTTCCATGACCTATTGTCCTGTGGGCCTCTTCTCTAGAGCTGAAGCCTAATTGAAGTCTGGAGCCATTACCCATAATCCTCCAGTGGGCCTGGGCTCTGACTTTATTACCCACAATCCCCTGCACTATTGCAGTCTGGCTCTATTACCCAAAATCCCCTGCTGGTCTGGAGTTTGGATTCATTGCCTATAATTCCTTCCAAACTCGAAATCTGTCACCTTTGGTTCCTGAAAACCATATTACCCACAATGCCTGGAGGCCCAGGTCTGACCACAGAGGTGGGGCCCAGGTTTCTAGGGCTCCATTTCACCTGTGGAGGAGGGACCAGCCATTGAGGGATGGGTTGTCTTGGCCTCTCAGGTCCCCACCTGCCTGGGGTAGGCACCTTCTCCAGCCTCATGACGGCCCAGGCGGCTCCACTCTGGAGTGCCTGGGGAAGGCTGGCGGGCAGGGGCTGGGCTGTCTGTCCGTCTGTCTGTCTCTACTCACCATAGAGCCCAATCATTGTTTCCAAGATTAAAACCCTCTCAGCTAAAATCTTCAAAGCCTCGCGTAGTTGGTGCAACCCCTCCCCCTGCGGAGGAAAGAGACAGATGCAGCCGTGAAGGGGGCAGGGGAGGGGGCCCTGCAAAGCCTGTTGGTGGCCCATGCCCCACCCTGGACATGCACTGCAGCCCATACCACCTGCCACAGCCCAGGGCCCATGGACAGCCGGGACAAGACCAGGAGAGGACAGGAGGGGGACAAGGCAGGCAGAAGCGGCCCCCTCGGTAAGTCCTGATGGATCCCAGCTGGCTTCTTTCTTCTCCCCACATCGTTGCAAATCCTGCTGCACTAGGGGCCAAGGGACACCAGTCCTTAGGAGCAGCACTACTGTCTCAGAGCCTGCCATGGAACCTGCCACATAGTGTTCCCTGGAGGTTGCCACAGAGCCCCGCCTCCCATTTCTCTTTACAGACACCAGTTGTTCTCACATCACCTGTGTGATTCCTGCCACATCCGTGGACCATCTGTACTCCTGTTTACTTAATATTCTTTAAACCGACACACTTTTTGCCTTAAATACTACATTAATCTCACCCTAATTAACTCCATTAGCGGGATAAGGCTACTTACTGATATCCTTTCTATTCACATCAAAATGAATGCATATAAGTAAAATTAGAATATGTTTGAGTGGCATCGCTGTTGGAAAGCTATGTTTAAAATGCTGGCAAAGCTGAGGCTCGGGCCCTAGTGCTCCCTTCCCAGCCTTTCTCACTTTGGGCTCTGACTACACCAGGTCCTAGAGTCCGGCCCTCAGCCACACCCTCTCATCTAAGCGGCATCTCTAGGGCCCAAGCCCAGGGATGTGGCAGTGGGCCCACAAAGCCACCTTCCCCAAGCCTCCTTGATCTGGGACTCCCCACTCTCAAACAATGCCAGGTGCTGCCTGGGGGTCATGCTGGAGACCACCAGCTGGCACTCACCTTCACTTGCTCCCAACCTGTCTATCCTTTCCTTTCCCAGCATAAGGTCCATGGCTTTGCCCAAATTCTACACTCCCTCATTCCTTCTTCTTTTCTGGTCCAGACTTAAGCTATTTCTGGGATGTAGATATCTTAATTCCGACAGAGCACCAGGACAGCAAATCTCTGTCTCGGTATGGAGTAAGTGAAGGGATGACATATACTATACATATTGCTACAATTATAATCCATCACTTTAAAGTAGCTGTTCCCCTCCCTCACCCCCAAATACCTAACAACTGAGAGACCTCCCAACATGTCCATGAACCTGCTGTGGCCTCGCTCTGACTGTCTGTTATGATCTTGGTGTCCTGTTCACATCACATGGATTGGGCTACCCTCAGACCACTGACTGGCCATTGCAGCCTAGGGGTTACAGGGTCACCATAGGCTGAACATCAAAGTAATCCCTCTTCAAGTATTACAGGAGGAGAATCTAAAAATGGATGACCTTCAAAAATTATGTTAAGCCACTCCTGACATGGACAGTGGGACAAGCTGACATCATGAGCCTCCTGAGGAGATGCAGTAAGAGGGTACCACATCCCCTGTAAGTGCTCCTGCAAAGAGTATTTAACCTGCATCTCATCACCAGGAAACAATCAGGCAAACCTAGATGGTGGAACATTTATAAAAAGGCAAAGTCAAGAGATAGAAGAAAAGGGCAGGGGGCCTGTTCTAGATTAAAATAGACTAGAGACGTGACAACCAAATGTAATGTATCAATCTTGATTAGATGTTTTTTAAAAAACAGCTATAAAACGCATTCTTTGGACAACTGGTAAAATTTGTATATGTTAGGTATGAAATGGCATCATTTCATTAAACTAATGTCACCTTTCAAAGTGTGACAATGGTATTGTGACTCTTGGGGAGAATGTCTATGGTCTTTTGAGATACACACTAATGTGCTGGGGGAGATGTAGATGAGGTTTCCAACTTACTTTCAAATAGATTAGAAAAAAAAAGTCTGTAAATATGTAAAGAAAGAGCAAATGTGGCAAAATACTAATTGGTATAGAGGAAGGGTAGGATGTTCATTGTATCAATTTTTCTGCATATTTTGAAAATTTTCAAAATAAAAATCTTGAGGAAAAATGTAAAAAAAGATTCTGCTATTTGGATCCCTCCCCAGATGGATGGCCTGCTTTGTATTGATGACGCCCCAGTCCCTTCCCAGCCTGGCCTGAGTATCCAGGGCCTGTTGGACACCCCCAGCAGGCCATAAAATAGACATCTTCCATTCTCCATGGACAGACCTCAGCAGGCCTGTTTCTCCTGGCTCTCCTTTACTATTGCGTTTCCTTTAACTTCTCGTTCCCCCCTCACAGCCAAACTGGCACGTAAATGTCTCTTAGCTCCAGTGACATCTGTCCACCCTCATTGTCCCCCCCTCCCAGTTCCAGCCCCCACAGTCTCTTGCCAGGATGACCATGACAGCCTAGTCTCTTTATGCTTCTCCCATCCATTCTCCACATGGCAATAGAGGAATCTTCCGCAAATAATCTGACCACATCATTTCCCTGTTCATAACTATTTCAATGACTCCCCACTGCCATAGAACAAAGTTCAAATTCCTCAATATGGCCTCCTAAGTCCTGAAAGCCTCTTTGACTTCCGTCTCACCCCTTCCGTATCACACTCTGCCAGTCCAGGTATTTGCACATGATGTTCCTGCTCCTCTGCCTGAACACCCTTTGCCTGGTTAATGCATTTTTTAAGCTTCAACACAAGGATGCGAAATCCTCCCCCATCACAGTTGAGCTCCTCCTGTCCTGTCATTGCTGGTTACTAGTCTGTTCGTCCCTCAGCCTACTGGGACTACCCTGAGGGTGGTGACTGTGTCCAAATTGTATCTATGTCCACAGTGTTTAGCCTGGGGTCTGGCACCCACCAAAGAGGTGCTTGGGGGAATGTTAACTGATTCTCCAGGTCCTGGGAACTGAAAAACCTGGGCTTCAGTTCCAGCTCTGCCAACAGTTCGATCTGCAGAGTTGGACCTCAATTTTTCCTGTCTGAATAAGGAGTCAGAGCTTTGGTCTGCATGGGCTGACTCAGCCTAGTCACTCCTGGGCAATGCTTGCAGTGCATGTCCATGACCACTGGGTGACACTGCTGAGCCACAGCCAGGCCAGTGGCTCTCAAAGTTTTGCTAAGTGGAGTTGCTAGGTAGAATGTGTATAGGAGCCCTAGGGGAACTCATTCTCACCTGCCCCCAACAGAACTATACCCCCAGCCCTCAAAGCCTCATGCAGCCCCCAGTCCAACAGGCCCCCTCCCAGGCAGGCAGCAAGCAGGGGCTGAAGTACGGGTAGGTGAGGGGGAGGCAGACGGGCAGGGGCCCTGCTACCTCTTGGGGGCCCCTCCCATAGGTCATCCTGAATTCGAGGCCTGGTCTGGGATAGTTCTGGCATCTGTTCTCCTGCCAGGATTCCCATGTAGGGATGTGGCTGCCCAGTCTAATTCAGACTTCACTTCACTCTCCCACCTGTCCTGGGCTGCATAGAAAATGTGCTGGGAGAGGCCAGTAAAGGGGCTGAGCAAGGGCAGAGGGCTGGGCTCAGAGGGGACTACCTGAACCCCAGGCCTGCTTGTGCACATACTGGCAGAACGCTAAGAGGCTCTGGAGACACCAGGGGGACTGGAGTGGGAGTGAGGAACTGAGAGAGGCTTGTCAGAAAGGTAGCAGGGCCCCAGAAGTCATGGAAAGACATGGGGGAGGGCTCGTGCAGGGTGGGGGAGCTCCCACGGCTGTATCCATCACTGACCCCATAATCAGGAGCAGAGAGGGCAAGGCAGGCGCTGGGTGCTTCCTGCATCCTCATTAACTAGTACCTGCCAGGAAGTAGGACATCCCAGCCAGACTGCACCAGGGAGAGGAGAGGGGGTTGGAGGAGAGGCATAATGCCAGCCTCCAAAAGAGCTTCTTCTATAGGGGTATCTGCCCTGTTCACCCTGTCCGTTTTCCAAATATCCCTTATGTCAGTGATGGTTTCCAGGTCCCTGCATCATGGGGCTTTTGGTCTTCCTCCAATGTGTTTCTTGGGTGGATAGAGTTCTAGGTCCTGAAATTCATTCACCGCAACTATTACCAATAATTGTGAAGGTTTCTAGGATCCCACATGTGGTTTCTAGGTCCCCTTTCTCATTTACTCTATGTCTCCTTATATATGACAGTTTCTAGGCCTTCCTTTCCATTCTTCATGGGCTTCCTTTGTGTATGGTGGTTTCTAGATCCCTTAATATCATTTTCCATTGTTCTCCTATAAGTTTTCAGGTCTTTCCTCCCACTCCTCATGGGTCTCCTGTGTATGCGATAGTGTCTAGGACCTCATGTTAATTCCCGGTCTTTGCGTATAGCGGAGTCTAGGTACTCAAACCTCATTTACCGTGTACATGACAGTTTCCAGGCCTCTCCTCCCATGCTTCATGTATTTCTTATGTGTATGGTAGTATCTAGATCCCCTGTCCCTTTTATCACAGGCTTCTGTGTACCTCAGCAGTTCTATGCCTCCCTCCATGGCTTTCTTAAGACCCCCTATCCCATTCTTCTGTGTGGATATTGTTTTCATGCTTCCCTTCCTTCTGTAGACAGGGGAGCAGGAACTATCTCCTGCTGGAAGAGGGCTATGGAGGCAGGGGATGCAGTCTGGACTGGGTTAGCCCAAACTGCCCAGGAGGAACAGGCAGGGTCACTCTGGCCCAGAAAGGCCACGGAGGGAAGGCGGAGACAGGGACAAAGACAGAGACAGAGAGCGTTGGGTCTGTTGATAAGGCTGGCCCTGCCTTGTTGGGGAGACAGGATTGGGGAAGGGGTTAGGGCTGAGAACTGTCAAAGTCCTTCCCTGGGAGGCCAGGTGGTGATGAGGTTTTGGCTGGGGTGCCCCTACTCCAAAATAATCTCCTGAGTGCCCAGGGCAGGAGGAAACAGTAGGAGGTCAGTGTTGGGCTGGAGCTTACCCAGTGGCTTTTCTCACCAGGGTCTCCTTTGGGGCCAGGTTCTCCCTGCAATGAGAGGGAGAGCAATGGAAGTAATGAGAGAGGAAAGGAGAGGAGGAAGGAGGAAGGGACAAAAGGAAAAAGAGAGAAACATCTTGAGAGAGGCTGAGAGATTGAGAGAGGCAGAGACAGAGAGTAGCTTGTATTGGACTAACACTAGATAAAAAGCAAAAACACAACTGTTTGAAGGCAATGAAAAGTGATAAAGAGCAGCCAGAAACTGGAGGATATTTGACCTCTGAAAGAAGGAAACTGTACTGGGTAAAATCCATATATTTATAGCTTTTCCTCTGAGAGTTATACCCTAGTCCCCTCAGCCTAACAAATAGCTCAAGCAGAAAGCTTTAGTTTTATTGGCCTGAGGAATCTGAGGATGGAGTCAAGACTGCCAAAGAAGGAGGAAATTGAGGGGAAATACTGGAAATCAGGGAGCCGTGGTAGGGGAGTAAAATCTGGATAAATACTCTCCTTTAATCTTTGAATAGTTTATGAACTGCCCATCCTGAAGTTCCAAAGCTGAGTCTAACCCATAGCCTAGACTTAAAATCAACACTCTTTAGAGGAAGATAACAGATTCCTTCACTTTATAACAGATTCTCTTCACTATATTATCTGTATTGTCCATGTATGCAATAAAAATATTAGACATATGAAGAAACAAGAACATGTGACCCATACTGAAGAGAAAAATCAGTCAGTAGAAATAGATCCATAGCCAACCCAGATGTTGAAATGAGCAGACACAGAGTTTAAAATATTTATAATAAATACATTAAATAATTGATATAATAGGTAATGAGATGGGCAATTTCAGTAGAGATATGAAAACTGTAAAAAAGAACCAAATGGAAATCCTGGAAAGGAAAATGATAATATTTAAAATTATCAATTCATTAGCTGGGATTAACAGAAGTTTGGCTATAACAGAAGAATCAATTAACTTAAAGACAAATCAATACAATAATTCAAATTGAAGCATAGAGAGAAGAAAGATTAAAAAAAATAAACAGAACCTCAATGACTCATGGGAAAATATTAAGTATAACTGGAAATGCAGAAGGGAGAAGAGAGCACAGGAACAGAAAAAAATGTTTAAAGAAATGTTAACTAATTTTTCCCTTCAACTTTGATTTAAAAACAAAACAAAACAGATTTCTAGTTTTTGGTCTAGCACATAAAGAGCTTAGAAGTCATCATTTTTTCCTAACAATAAGTAAAAAGCTGAACAAACTGAAAAATCAACAGCACTTATTAAAGCCATCAAAGAAGTGAGGTCACAGGGCAAACCACTGCCTCCCCACCCCACCACCCCAACAAATTACAGAGACAGAGAGGAAGAATTTACTGGAGCTGAAACCTCCCTGGGAACCACTGCCAGGTAAGAAAACCTATAATTAAACTTAATTGACAAATTACTGGGGCTCAGTGTGGGCAACTCTTGAGAGTTAAACATTTCAGGAGGATCCAGTTTTGGGCAGAAGTGGTTGAGCCCCTCCCACACTTGCTTATGTATGAGTGAAATAACTGACAGCACTTCTACAAAGAGTGGGAGGAAAGAATTGGGAATACTTTGTTATTGTAATGTATTTGCACTAACCATGAAGTAGTATAGTGTTATCTGAAGGTAGACTTGGATTAGTTATAAATTTACATTGCAAACTCTGGGAAAACCACACAAAAAAGTAAAAAAAAAAAAATAATTGATATGCTATGAAAGGAGAGAAAATGGAATCATATGAAATGTTCAATGAAAACCACAAAAGGCAGAAAAAGTGTGGAAGACAAACAGAGGAACAAAAGACAAGGGCGACAAATAGAAAACAGTAATAAATATGGTCGGTATTAATCCAGCTCTATCAATAATCACTTTAAACATCAATAATCTAAATATATCAATTAAAAGACAGAATTGTCACAATAGCTAAAAAGACAAGACCCAGCTATATGCTGTCTACAAGAAACCACTTTAAGTATAAGACACAGGTAGATTAAAAGCAAATGGAGAGAAAAAGATATACCATACTAACACTAATCAAAAGAAAATGAGAGGTGTGGCTCCACAGTGTAGTGGTTAGCACGTCTGCTTTACACGCAGAAGGTCCTGGGTTCACGCCCCAGGTAGAGCCATGGACCATACCCCGGGTGTGCCAGGGGTGCCAGGCTCCAGGGGCGCCAGGCCCCGGGTGTGCACATTGAGTGTGTGGCGGGGGAGACGCCCCGCCTTCAGAAATCCAGTTCTTAAAAGGGAGACGGCAACATCCATAGGTCAGGAGTGGAAGTAGGGGGAGGGGAATTAAAGAGAGAAGAAAAAAAAAAAGAAAACGAGAGTAGTTATATCAATTTCAGACAGAGCAGACTTCAGAGCAAGGAAAGTCACCAGGAACAAAGAGGGATGATATATAATGATAAATGAATCGGTACTCCATGAAGACATAACAATCTTTAACATGTACATGCCTAACAACAGAGAATCAAAATATATGAGATCAAAACTGATAGAACTACAAGGAAAAATAGATAAATCGACTATTATAGTTGGAGATTTTAACACCATCTGTAAGAAAAGGGCAGATTCAGCAAGCAGAAAATCAGTAAGGACATAGCTGAACTCAACAATACCATCAATCAACTAGATATAATTGACATCTATAGACCACTCGGTCCAACAATAGCAAATTACATATTCTTCTCAAGCTCATGTGAAACATTCAAGTTAGATCACATTCTGGTCCATAAAATATACCTCAACAAATTTAAAAGAATAGAAATCATAAAATGTTTGTTCTCAGACCACAATAGAATTAAACTAGAAATCAGTAACGGAGAGAGAACTGAAAAATCTCCAAATACTTGGAGATTAAACAACACATTTCTAAATAAAACATGAGTCAAAGAAGAAATCTCACGAGAAATTTTAAAATATTTTGAACTAAATGAAAATAAAACTTATCAAAATTTGTGGAATGCAGTGAAAGCAGTGCTTAGCGGTAAATTTTATAGCACTGAACATATATGTTAGAAAGGAAGAATGATCTAAAACCTATAATGTAAGCTTCCACTTTAAGAAAGCAGTTAAAGAGCAAATTAAACCCCAATTAAGCAAAAGAAAAGAGATAATAAAAATTAGAGTAGAAATCAATGAAACTGAAAACAGAAAATCAACAAAACCAAAAGCTAGTTCTTTAAAAATATCAATAAAATTGACAAGCCCCTAGCCAGGATAATTAATAAAAAGAAGAAAAGATACAAATTACTAATATCAGAAATGAAAGAGGGGACTTCACTGTAGATCCCTTGAACATCAAAAAGATAATAAAGGAATATTATGAACAACTCTGCTCACAAATTTGATAACCTAAATCAAATAGATCATTCCTTGAAAGACACAATCTGTCAAAACTTTCACAATAAGAAATAGACTATCTGAATAGGCCTATACCTATTAAAGAAATTGGATCAATAATTAATAACCTTTCAAAAGAGAGAACACCAGGTCCAGATGGGTTCACTGCTGAATTCTACCAAACATTTAAGGAAGAAATTATACCAATTCTCTAAAACCTCTTTGAGAGGATAAAAGCAGAGAGACTACTTTCTAACTTAAACTATTACTAAAACTAGACAAAGACATTAAAAACTACAGACCAATATCTCTCATGAACATACGTAAAAATCTTCAACAAATAGCAAATCAAATCCAACGATATATAGAAAGAGTTATACACCATAACGAGTGGCATTTATTGCAGGTATGCAAGTCTGGTTCAATATTTGAAAATCAATTAATGTAATCTGTCACCTCAACAGGTTGAAGAAGATCACATGATCATATTAATAGATGCAGAAAAAGCACCTGACGAAATCCAACAATACCCATTCATGATAAAAATTCAGCAAACTAGGAATAGAGGGAGAACTTCCTTAACTTGATAAAGAACATCTACAAAAGATATACTTCTAACACCATATTTAATGATGAAAAACTAAAAGCTTTCCTGCTAAAATCAAAGACAAGGTAAGCATATCCCCTCTCACTAATGCTTTTTGATATCATACTGGAAGTCCTAGCTAATGCAATAAGACAAGAAAAGGAAACAAAAAGTATACAGGAAGAAATAAAATGATCTTTGTTTACTGATAACATGATCATCTATGTAGAAAATCTGAACGAATCAACGAAGAAACTCTTAGAACAAATAAACAATTATAGCAAGGCTGAAGGATACAAAGTCAATCACTTTCCTATATACCATCAATGAACAAGTGGAATTGGAAATTCAAAACGCATTACCATTTACATTACCACCCCCTAAAATGAAATACTTAGGTATAAATCTGACAAAATATGTACAAAATCTATACAAAACTGATGAAAGAGATCAAAAAAGAACCAAAAAATGGAGAGATATTCCATGTTCATGGATCAGAAGACTCAGCACTGTCAAGATGTCAGTTTTCCCAACTTGATCTATAGATTCAATACAATTCCAATCAAAATCCCAGCAAGTTGTTTTGTGGATATTGATTAATCGTAAAGTTTATGTGGAGAGGCAAAATACCCAGAATAGCAAACTCAATAGGGAAGAAGAACAAAGGTAGAGAACTGACACATACTCAACTTCAAGACTTTCTATAAAGCTACAGTAATCAAGACAATGTGGTATGGGCAAAAGAATAGACAAATAGATCAATAGAACAATATAGAGAGCCCAGAAATAGACCCACATAAATACAGTCAACTGATCAAATGAGCAAAGGCAAAACAAAGACAACCTTCTCCACAAATGATGCTGGAATAAATGGACAGCTACTTGAAAAAAAATATGGATCTAGACGCAGATCTCACATCCTTCACAAAAATTAATTCAAAACAGATCACAGACCTAAATGTAAAGTACAAAACTATAAAACGCCTAGAAGAAAACATAGGAGAAAACTGAGATGACCTTGTATACGACAATGACATTTTTAGATATAACACCAACGGCATAATCTATGAAAGAAATCATTGATAACTTGGATTTTATTTAAATTAAAAACTTTTGCTCTTCAAAAGACAATATTGAGAGAAGGAGAAGACAAGCCACAGACTGGGAGAAAATATTTGCAAAAGACACATCTGATAAAGGACTATCATCCAAAATATACAAAGAACTCTTAAAACTCAACATTAAGAAAACAACCCAATTAAAAAAGCTTTTGCACAGCAAAGAAAGCCATCAATAAAATGAAAAGGCAATCTATGGAATGGGAGAAAATATTTGCAAACCACATATCCAATAAGGGGTTAATATCTAAAATATTTAAGGAATTCATAGAACTCACTAGCAAAAAGACCCTAATAACCCAATTCAAAAATGGGCAAAAGACCCAAACAGACATGTTTCTGAAGAATAAAAATGACCTGTAGATATATGAAAAGATGCTCACCATCACTAACCATCAGGGAATACAAATCAAAACCACAGTGAGAAATCACTTCACACCTGTTAGGATGTCTACTATCAAAACAACAAGAGATAACAGATGCTGGTAGGCAGTGAAGCAAAGTGAACACAAAGTGAACACTTGTACACTGTTAGTGGGAATATAAACTTGTACAGCCATTATAGAAAATGGTAGAGAGGTTCCTCAAGAAATTAAAAATAGAACTACCATATAATCCAGCAATCCTACTTCTGGGTATATATCCAAAGAAAATGAAATCACTCTCTTGAAGAGATATCTGTACTCCCATGTTCATTACAGCATTATTTACAACAGCCAAGAATGGAAACAACTTAA